ATTAACCTAAAACTCTATAGGTTTTCGTTTAAGGAGAACTAAAACCGAATTTATGGAGTGCAATTTTAGCAGTAATAGATCTAGTGGTGGGATTGTGATATTGTGTGATCAAGTCATTAAAAAAGATTACACATTTTAGATATCTTGGGTATGTTGCTCAAAACATTGGTGAAATAGCTATGAATATTATTAGTATAATTCAAGTTGGATGGTTGAAGTGGAGGAATGCATCGTGCCTGTTGTGTGATATAAAATTATCCCTAAAATTTAAGGAAAATTTTATAAGATGGTGGTGAGACTTGTAATGTTTTATGGCACATAATGCTGGCCATCGAAGTGGGGCAACCCATAATTTCATTTCCACCCAGATCGTGGAGTCGCTTGGGATGGAGCTAGTGGATACAGGAGGCTATGGGGTGATGATGGGCACGGGAAAGGTGAAAATGGGTAGAGGAGTTTGTAGAGGGGTGGTGCTGAAGATTCAGGGGATTCAGGTGAAGGAGGACTTCCTTCCCTTGGACTTGAGGAGTACTGACGTCATCCTGTGGATGAGTGGCTGCGTACATTGGGGGAGACTAAGATCAATTGGGGTACACTGAAGATGGAATTGGTGATAGGGGGGAGAAGGAGGATGATTCAGGGTGACGCTGGGTTGACCAAGGTTGGGGTTTCTCTCAAATCCCTAATCTGGACTATTCAGCTGGAGGGAGGAGGCTATTTGGTGGAATTGCACAGTTTGGAGGGAGCAAGAGTGGAGGGAGGAGATATACCCCTCTCTGTTCAACCGCTGATTCAACAGTTCCAGGAGTTGTTTCAGCCGCGTCAGGGATTACCTTCGCAGAATGAGCGAGAGAATGCTATTGTGTTAAGGGACGGGGTTTCACCCATCAGTGTACGTTCTTATCGCTACCCTCAGTTCCAAAAAGATGAAATTGAACGGTTGATTAGAGAGATGCTGGAGGCAGAGATCATCAGACCCAGCATCAGCCCTTTCTCTAGTCCCGTTTTGTTGGTGAAAAAGAAGGACGATAGCTTGCGATTTTGTGTAGATTACAGAGCACTCAACAAGGAGACGGTACCTGACAAGTTTCCTATACCAGTTATCGACGAGCTGTTGGATGAATTAAGCGGGACTGTGATCTTCAACAAGATAGATTTGAAATCGGGCTACCACCAAATTTGAATGAAGAAGGAAGATGTCCCAAGACGGCTTTTAGAACTCATGAAGGCCATTATGAGTTCTTGGTGATGCCTTTTGGTCTCACCAATGCCCCCGCTACTTTCTAGGCCCTGATGAATAAGATTTTCAAACCATATCTCAGACGGTTTGTGTTAGTATTTTTTGACGACATCCTGATATACAGCAGGTCAGAGGTCGAACATTGGGAACATTTAAAAAAGGTGTTAGAGGTTTTGCGGGAGCATCAGTTGAGGGCAAATTTAAAGAAATGCTGCTTTGCACAAGCCAGTGTAGAGTACTTGGGCCATGTGGTATCAAAGGAAGGGGTGGCAACTTATCAATCCAAAATTGAGGCGATGCTAAAGTGGCCACTACCCAAAAATCTGAAGGCACTGAGGGGATTTCTGGGATTGACATGTTATTACAGAAGATTTGTTCAGCGGTATAGCACCATAGCATGGCCACTTACGGAGCTGTTGAAGAATGATGGGTTCTTGTGGGGAGAAGCAGCCACATCAGCATTCTAGAGCTTGAAGAAGGCAATGACTATAGTACCGGTCCTCTCCTTGCAGATTTTACTCAGAAATTCATTGTGGAGACAGATGCATCCGGATACGGATTGGGTGCAGTACTTATGCAAAATCGGAGGCCCATCGCTTATTTCAGCCAGGTATTGACTGCTCGAGCAAGGATGAAATCAGTATATGAGAGGGAATTGATGGCCATCGTGTTGGCCATCCAAAAATGGCGGCCCTACCTACTTGGAAGACACTTCATTGTCAGGACAGATCAGTGGAGCCTGAAATTTCTTCTGGAATAGCGGATGGTGACGGAAGAGCATCAGAGGTGGTTGTCCAAGTTACTAGGGTATGATTTTGAGATTCAGTACAGGCCAGGAGTGGAGAACAAGGCGGCAGATGCCTTGTCCAGATGTATGGAGGAACTACAGACAATTGCTCTATCCGTTCCTTTGATGCTTGATTGGGAGGCCATCAGAGAAGAAAGCGCTAGTGATGAGAGTTTGGAAAAGATCAGGACTGAGTTACTGAAGGAACCAGGTAGCCACCCGGGGTACTTACTAGAAGGAGACAAACTGCTGTATCAAGGGAGATTTGTGATGCCCCGGACGTCGATCCACATCGCAAACCTACTCCAGGAGTTTCATGGGAGTGCAGTGGGGGGCCATTCAGACGTACAGAAGACTTACAGGAGGCTAGGTGGGGAGCTGTACTGGAAAGGGATGCATAAAGATGTAGAGGAGATGATAGCCAGTTGTGAGGTATGCCAAAGAAGTAACTACCTAGCGATGTCACCAGGAGGATTACTATAGCCGCTAGCTTTGCCGGGTAGAGTATGGGAGGAGATATCTATGGATTTCATAGATGGGCTACCTCGCTCAGATGGGTTCACGGTGATCTTAGTGGTGGTAGACAGGTTGAACAAGTATGCCCATTTCATTCCCCTCCGACACTCCTACACCACAGTAACAGTAGCATCAGCCTTCATCAAAGAAGTGATCAGACTACACGGAGTGTCAGAGGCGATCGTATCCGATAGGGACATGGTGTTCCTTAGCCATTTCTGGAGGGAGTTATTCAGATTGCAGGGAACAGTTCTCAAGAGAAGCACAGCTTACCACCCACAAACGGATGCCTGACGGAAGTAGTCAACAGGAGCTTGGAGACGTACCTAAGATGCTTTGTTTCAGAGACACCAAAGCTATGGGTAAAGTGGCTATCCTGGGCTGAGTACTGGTACAACACGTCATTTCACTCGGCTTCACAGATGACCCCATTCAAGGTGTTGTACGGACGGGATCCCCCACACTTGATACACTTTGGGAGCAGTAGTACTCCTGTGTCGTCAATAGAGGAGTACTTGGAGGAGAGGGACCGAGTGCTAGAGGAGTTAAAGAGGCATTTGCTGAGGGCGCAACAAATCATGAAGAAACAAGCAGATGGGCATAGAAAAGATATCCAGTTTGAGGTAGGGGAGAAGGTGTTCTTGAAGCTCCGTCCATACAGGTAGAAGACAGTAGCCAACAGGAGAAATGAAAAGCTGGCTCCAAGGTACTTTGGTCCTTACGAAGTGATGGAAAAGATTGGGGCAGTAGCATATCGACTGAAATTACCCCCATCGGCGACTATACACCCGATTTTTCACGTCTCACAGTTGAGAAAGGC